AAAAAAAAAAGAAGTCTCTGTGATGATATTAATAATGTATAGTCACTTTCCCATTGTTAGTACAAAATACCTGTGTTATGGTTTGTGTCTAGATGTTTCTCCAAAGCCTCATGGATCATAGGGCTTTTTCAGAGATGGCTGAATCTACAGTGTGTGACGTTTGATTAAGGATATGTGATTAGTAACTCAGTCCACTGATTGGTTTGGCATAGTTCTGGCTAGGAATAAAGGTGTGAGTGCTATACCCACTTTAGGGTGGGTAGCCTGCATACAATATAAGAGACAGAAGGAATCTTATCTCCCTCTCGCTTGTTGCTTTTTCTCTCTTCTGCTACCATGAACTATTGCCCCTTTGCTATGTGCCACTCTGCCTTGGAGCCAGCTGATTATGGATTGAACTCTCACAAATTGTGAGCTAAATTAATTTTTCCCCTTTAACTTTGGGTGTGGGGTATTCTGTCTCATCAATGAGAGAAAAGTAAGACAACATGATTTTCACAACTTAAAAGAGAGAGCTTTCTTTGGGTCACAGATCCAGCTGGTTGAGTACATGCTTAGCTGGCTCCAAGGCAGAAATGGCATAGCAGAAGGACATGTTGAGGAAAGATACTTACCCTTATGGAGGCCAGGAAGCAAAAAAGGGAAGAGCTGGTACAAGAATACACTCTTCCAAGTCACACCCTTTGTGTGACTCCAACTAGGATCCACCTCCTGACAGCATGTTCAGTTCTGAACACATGGATGGATTAATCCACTGATGAGAGTCACATAACCCAGTCATCTTGCAAAGCCTTGCCTCTGACACATTAGACTTTGGAGGATGTTGTAGATCTAAGCCGTAACTAGTGATAATAATCACACACAGAGGGAGGGGAGGAGGGAAGGAGGAAGTGGGAGAGAGAGAGAAGCAGGGCTGATCAAATCTCTGTTTAGAGTTCACTTATATTACTACTCTTTCTTACAAAGGGGTGTGTGTGTGTTGTTTCTTCTGTTTTCTTTTGAGAAGTTGTCCATAAGTGATCAGGAGCTGAGACCTAGATGTTACTAGCAACAGTGTGAAGCCAGATCTTCATCTTCCATGAAGAGGACTTGAAGGCCCAGGTAGAATTCAGGCTGCACTATGCTGTTAATCTGCTTGTGGAGCCAATAAAGACATCTGTATTTGGAAAGACATTCTGATGATGTATTAAGGTGTTCTGATGTGATTTCATTCCAAGCCCCTACAACAGTCCAAAATCTTGTAGTCAGAGTTTCTGTCGAGCCAAGGGGATATTCTCATATCAATTGCCCCAGGAAGGAGTGAATTCTAGAGGAGAAGACTAAGTCCTTAGATTGGCTTGACAGGGAGGAGGTGGATGGTGCCTGTTTTTGCTGTGCTGTGTAAGATTTACATTGGTAGGAGGGAACACCAATGTCAGGAGACAAGCTCAAAGGTACTGGGGATGTGAGACTCACCTCCATCCTAAGGCAGGTTGGATCAAGGCATTCACTAAAAATAATTTTTATAAGAAGAGCTCTGAAAGCAGAAGTACCCACTAATAATATATATAAGACTGCTGAGGGAGTAAAGCATTGAAATTAATCTAATTACTATATGTAACCCCTGAGCCTTTAGTAAAGTCTAGTTCAGGGCTGTAACCCATCTCAACTGTGCTAAGAGAAATGAATGGGTTCCATGTGTGGCGAATGTATGAAACATCTTACATCTTTAGACAAGACAATATGTTGATCATGATGTTATTCAAAATGTGTGTGTGTATGTGTGTGTGTGTGTGTGTGTGTGTGTGTTAGTAATCACACCCAGAGCCTTATGCATGCTAGGCAAGTGCTGTAGCCCTGAATTATTGCACTCAAATGTTATTTATCTCCGATATGAGTGTTTTGGTGCCTCTGTAAATCTGTATGCTGGTATTAGCTTTTTTTCTTTTAACTCTAACATCCCAGGGCTTGTTTTACAATGAGACAGTTTTAAATTTCCAATTTCACAAAACATTGAACCAAAAATACAGCAATATGGTTTTATATCATAGTATAAATATGTTCAACAAAGCATATAAAAGTATTTCATGACTCTAAGAGCTCTCTCTCTCTCTTTCTATGTAATATATATATAATGTATATTATAAACTTTCAGCCAATACATATAACATATATTATAAACTTTCAGTCAATCATATTCAACATTGGATGTAAAAGAAAGAAGGCAGGTACAAAAGAATAACTAGAACCTTTGGGGTAAAACAACAATTTAAATGTGACAATCACATTAAAAAAATCACAAGCACCATGAAATTCTCCCTTAAAAATGTGCATCTTGATATGAAATACTTTTGTTTATTTTTGATACAGTACTAGAGCAAGTTGAAAATATTTCTACCCACACTTCAGATAAATCATTACTGTGGGAATATCACACATTGCATCACATTTCCTCTCAAGTTAGAGGAATACAAAAATTAAAATCAATATCTGGGGTTACTTATGGTGTTAGTTCTGACATGAAAAGAGCTTGGATATTATCACTCCTGTCCCCGAGAAAAACCCTAAAAAAAACCCTGAAAACCAACGACTGTTCTTGGAAACATGAGATGATTAAGGTTACAGGGAAAATTACCCCTTAAAATTTGGAGAAACAAGTGAATCTAGAAAGTGACAGTTACTATCTGCTCAACTCACATGGCAGCTTATAGTCATACTGGTAGGAACCGGTAGGAATCGGTGGGAACACTTCCTGGGTAATTTTGATGAACTGCTGCAGGATACATGTGGACTAGCCTGAGGGTTACAAACACCTGGAACCCAGTGTAATGAGGAGTCCCACATATTCATAGCTCACTTCCAGGAACATTTTCATGTTTTCTTGAAAATCCTCATGGGCTCTGGTAGCAAGCAAGAAGGAGTAACCGCTGGGAAACAAACCTGGAGCTTTCTCCTTAACAGAGAACTCTCCAGTGGAAAGACTACCCCTGAGCCTCGTCTCAGCTGGGCAAGGGAGTTTTTCCCACTTCAGCTGGCTCTAGCCAGAGAAGATAAGAGAGGGAAGATAGGAAACACATGTGGAGGTAACGGCCCAGGGACACAGTCCAACTATAATACCAGGATTTAATCATCAGATTATACAATGCTTCTCTTCCGCCACATCTTAGTACTACACCAGCATCCTCCAGTGTAACAGGGGATTGCTCTAACAGTGCTGCTGTTCTTAACATTTCCCTTTGATTCTTTCTCAGGAAATGAAGAGCTTCAGACTCTGCCTAAGAGTTCTGACAAAAACCCAAAGTGGACAGGTGAGATAAAAGTAAGGGTGTTAGAGGAATTTGAATTCTTTGGCACACACAGTTACAGTAAGCATGAAACATCCCAATTTCTAGTGAGATCAACATAAAAACTGACCTTAAATTTCTATTATCTCAACTTTTATTACCTAGTACATCATGGCTGGTTCTCAAAAAAGAAATTCTAGACATGGTAGAAGAAAAACAAAACAAAACAGAAAACTACATTTAGAAATTGCATAGATTTTGTAATTATCACATAGGTAACTTAAAATAATTATGATTAATAGTTAAGGGTGTCAGAACAAGGCAAACAACATGCAGTTGGAGCTGGCTAGCGTGAGCGGATGGATGGCAACTCTTAACAACGGATCAAAAGTAAGTGGTAGAAATGAAAAACACAGGAACAGAAATGCAAATACCTTGGAAGGGCTCATCATAGACTGGAAATGACCAAGGAGAGAATCAGCGAGCTTGAAAACTGTCAACAGTAACATCCCAAACTGAAATTCAAAGACAGAAAAAGTGAATAACATGAAACCAAACATCTAACAACTCTAGAACAATTTCAAAAGCTATAAATACACGTAATTGGAATACCAGAAGTGGTAAAAAAAAAATCAGAAAGAGAATGAAGCAGGAAGAATATTTGAAGTAATTATAGCTGAGAAATTCCAAAAATTAATGACAGGCACAAAGCCACACATCCAGAAAAGCTCAGCAATTACCAACTGGACAAAGTCTCTCCAAAATCTGTACATCGGCATATCGTATCAGGCTTTATAGACAGAAAAGGAACAAAATAGCAAGATGAAAAACAAAAATCAGATTGACTCTTTCTTCCTTTCACTGAGCTACCTCATCAGCTCTTTTAAAAAAATTTTAAAAAATTTTTCTGTGTGATAGGATCTCACAAATTATTAAATTTCCCAAGCTGGGATCAACTGATTGATTATTTCAGTTATTTTTCTTGTAAGGCAGAGATAAGGAGATAACAATAGAAAAATAACATTGGTTAACATGGAGTTACTTTAGGTCACCTCTTTTCTATGTGTAAGTGAAGTGGGAGAAGGAACCAAACCAACGCCATGTTGTACTCAGGCACCATCTTAGAGCTTAAGCTTGTTTCCTTAAGTTTGTTTCTTGTAAATGTTGTCACAGTTACCTAACCCAGGACCACCCTGTGCTTTGACATAAGACTGCTTGTTCCCTACATTAAATGTCCAACACTGTTGTTCCTTTGTCACAAGCTAAACCCACACTTTGTAGGAGTATTCCTATAGCTACACCAAATCATATCAGCACCTCCTTAGACCCGGAACTAGAACCGAAGCTACAACTGCATAACTATTCTCTCCTCCTGCCCTTCAGGGTAGGTGCTTGGTCATATACTGGGTGCCCACCTGACTGGCTAATAAACTTCCTTGTCTCTGCATCTGGCCTCCACGGGTAACTCAAATAAGTGTGTTTTCCACAACATAAGGATTAAAGTGAAAGCAGCTTTATTATCATGTCAGTGGAAACTGGCCTATTTGAGAAGTTTGTCTATTACCTCTCTAGCCACTAGGTTTTGGGGTAGTTTGTCATGCAGCAATTAATCATTAAAATTTAAAAGAAACAAAAGGATTAAATGGAATCATGTTTCATAAGTAAAACCAAAGGAGTCAGAAAAAGAGGCAATAAAAGAACAAATGCAATAAATAGAATAGTTACAAACATGTTAGACATCCATCCAAGTATATCAGTAGTTGGTTTGCGTGGGAACAGACTGAATAAACCAATTAGAAGACAAAGAACAAGGAAAAAAGACTAAGAGAGACCTACTAAAAAGCAAAGAGATGGCAAAAGATGTATTATGCTAACTCTAATTTTTAAAAAGCAAGAGTAGTTATATTAATTTCAAACAAAACAAATAGCCTAGTTTGTTTTCTGTTGCTATAGTTAATTAAGGCTAGAGAGGTAATAGACAAACTTCTCAAATTGAAGAGACTGGATATTAGGTATATGGAACACTGAACTCTCAGTATCATCTTTACAATTTTTCTGCATATCCAAAATTGTCATAAAAATATTTCTTTTTTAAAAATTCAATATCTGGCTTGAGATGGTAAGCTCACTACCAAGCAAGTTGGCAGTACGGCTGTTGTACAAAGCTTTGAGAATAACACTGACACCATATTTTTGGGTTAGTTTGGGTAAGATATGGCCAAGACTCCAGCACGGCATATTTTGGGTTCCTAGAGTATGAAATTGTCTAAGATCTTTAAGCAGTCACCTCCTACCCACTTACAAATGGGGCAGGATATAAATAAGCATATGGATTTACAAGATCGTATATAACAGAGGTAAAAAGCAACCATATGGGGAAAAGACAGAAAGGTACCACTGGAAATAGCATTTAAAAAGTGAAGGGTCAGCATTAGCAGAGACTTGCAAAGACTGTTGAGGTGAATGAGAGCTTGCTTGTTAGCTTTTCTTAAAGTTATTTTGAGAAAAGGTTAAAAAAAAATAGTACATGCATTGGATAAGACTGACTTCAGCAGTGATGAGGTGTTATACTGTTGTATCACCTAATTTTAGCTACAAGGTCTGGGAACACCCCAAATAACAGGGGCTTAAGGGGAAAGAAATCTCATTTTATTCTTATAAATTTGGAATCGATTGACCAGGGCTTGGTGTCCTTCCCTGTAACTTACATGACAATAGTACTGTCGCACGGGGTGTTGCGACAATGATTGTCAAAATCACTCTATTACTCAAACACCGAGTGGGGAATGTGTTGGGCACAAATATGAAGGGCAAATCAGCTTTATGACTGAGAATAAAACCTAGCTCTCAGGGCCCTGCTCACACCACACTCCTCTACTGTGTCTTTTGGTACTGGTTGAGAGCAAAATGGTTTGGGTGGTAAGTACGGGAGGTATCATAAGTACCCCCTAGACTCGGGCAGACAGGGCGACCATTAATTTTCCTATTTCATCTTCATCTTTCTTAAAATGTTTGTTACATCATTGAGGTAGCACAGGTTGTACAACAGTCTCGGTTTTCAGTGTACTGTGCATTTTGTCAGGGATAGCATTTTTAGATATCTGTAATGCCAAGTTTTAGAGTGGCTGTAATGTAAGTTCTGGAGTGGAGTGGCTGCATTATAACTTGCCCTCCACAGTCCCTTTAAGTTTGAAGCTCACTGTTAAAGTTCCTGAAAGGATGCCTTGCTGAAGTTATTAAAGGGCTTTTCACACTCTAACAATCTGTTGACATGTGCCTGTGTGTCTTAGTCTTCTGATGAACGTTAGGATAAACTAACCCAACTCCCACCTCCCTGGGCCAAGTCAGAGAGCATTTGAATCAGGGACCAGTAAGAGTTTTACTAGGTTACATCTAGGGGAGTATTGAGAAGTGGGAGCAAGTGGTAAGTAACATCAGCCAGAACTAAGTGACATCAGTTAGGATTTTGCTTAAAAAGGCAGTAACAGCCGGTATGTGTTCAGCTATCTGTTTATAGTGCATGCAGTTTGCTTTGAAACATTGTTCTCCTATGAATACATCCTCATATTTTCTTTTTTTTTTTGGTACTGGGAATTGAACTCAGGACCTTGCAATTGCTAGGCAGGCATTGTGCTACTGAGTTATATTCCCAGCCCCCATATTTGCATTTTCTAATGGCATCCTTATCTTAGTTTCTGGCTGTGTCATTGGTCAAAGAGTACTGACATTGCACAAGTCTCCAGGCCAGGGGTCATTTTCAGGTTACAGGTGACAAAAATGTAGCTGCAAAGAAGCTTGTAAAGTGCCCAGGTTTCCACAGATCTACCTGTCTGCAAAGCCACTACTCTCTCCCTCACAACTTCCTTCCCAAAGTATTGCTATATTGGGTTTTCAGTATAAAAAGGCTTATGGACTTCGCAGTTCCTTTCTATGCCAGGCAAGCAGCTCTGTAGCATTCTTTGCATGACTAGAAATTTTGTAACAAAAAAGAGGGACATTAAAACATCCATGGAGGGTGCCCTATGGGAATGGAGCATAAAATGTTCACTTACAGAGCTCTCTCAGCCAATATTTGTGTTGTCGATGTGTGTGCTTCTGTTCCTAATTTAGACATAAATGTATGACACTCACAAAACCTGCTTTGAAAAAAAGTGCTAAAGTTCTTTGTAGTTGGCAAAATATGGAATCATACAGTTTATTGCTTTCAAAAGAAATGAAATTCTGAAGCCTAATTATAGTAATCCCTAACCTATCATGGGAGTTATGTTCCAGAGACCCCCATGCTAGATAAAAATCCATGAAGTAGCAGTGTTATATTTATTTTATTATTTATATGTATTTTAAGGCTTTATAAACCCTTCCCACACTCCTATAAACCTTTTCCACTCTCTTATTAACCTTTCCCACACTCTTATAGACACTTCATATGCTCTTAAACACTTTCTACACTCTTAAACCTACGTAATTTTAACAACATGTAAAATTCTATATGGGTACTCACCAGAGAAGTATACTACAACCTGAATGATGAAGATCGTGAATTATGTAGCTGTTCAGTACTGATGGTGATGAAGGTGATGACGATGAGATGAATGTACTGCACAGCCAAGAAGGGCGAGGAGAGAGGCTGAACGAACGAACGTATGGGCACAGTGAGGGAGAGAAAACAGACTGATGCTACAGTCACTGAGCCAATCAGTGCCCAGGATACAGAACACAGTGCTGTGGTTGGTCACCTTCCATTCCACCAGCCAATAGCGTGCCATGCACAATCTCACGTTGGCAAACTTGCACAAGTGGTAGTGGTGTACTGCATTTCCATTGTGTACAGTAGTATATTCATTCACTGATGAAATACATATTTGATTTTGATTTAATATTCTTTTAATATGTTTGAATTAACATTTAAAAATTTTTGTATTGTTTAAAATGTTTTAGGCAAAATAATTAAAATCATAAATATTATGTAAATACCTATACACTGCAAAATCCTGCAGTATAACGAGAACTCTGTGATACAGAATTAGATATATTTTTTTAAAAAACCTACGATACTGTGAAGCCACAATAAGTGAACCATAATATAATGACGGATGACTGTATAGGAAAGTAAGATAACACAATGATATCAACCTCTTGAAAATTGAGACCAACAACTATGCATTGATTTTATCCATAATTCCAGGTCTTTTGTTACTAGGATAGTAACTTCCTAAAGTAGTTAAGCTAAACTCACATACCATTACCATTGCTGATAATCATAACCTAGAAATGAGTATAATGAACTCCAGCCTGAAAATCTTTCAGATACAACTTCTGTGGTACTGGTGTTTAAAAATTTAGAATCTTCACATTTCATTAAGGTTAACTGTAAGAAAAGCTTGAAGAAAAGCTTCCACTTTGGCATGAACATTCTTGAAAAAACAGTATCAGGGGCTTCATGTCAGAAAGATTTAAAGCTAAAACCAATAGATTTTAAGAGGAAAAAATAACTGCTCCCTGTGGCATAGATTTTTTTTTTCTCTCAGAACCAATTGCTCAAGAAAAAAAAATTTTTTTCCCCTTCATTCTCTCAGTCCTCTCTGTAATCCCCACGGAGGGCCCATCCAGTAGGAGTAGAAAGAAGAAAGGTAAGATCACTCTTAGATTTCTGAAAATTCTGTTTCTCTGGTGCTTGGTATATTGTCCTATGTTCAGCAAAATTGTTCTTTGAGATGTTAACTTTTCCCATTTGTTTCCATTCTTGATAAAGTGAAAAGATTATGTAAGTTTCTAGAATGAATTTATACATATCTTTTAAAACTAAAAGGTAATCCAAATACCAAGAAAGACAAATAAACATAAACCCAGTGTCTTAGTTATTTTCTCACAGCTGGGACAAAATACCTGACACCCACAAGTTAAACGAGAAAAGGTTTGGAATATGTTCCAGTTTTCGCAAAGAAAATATTCATAAAACATCTAATACAATGTTCAGTGGAGTTTTTTAAAATACCATCTGTTACCACTGAACAAAACTGTCACCAATTTATTCAACAGAGGACGTAGTTACTGTGCTCTCCGTGGATCAACACTTTTGAAAAATTACTATAAAATATTAAAACCCTAATTCCTCTGTTAAGTCTTTTGATCCTGAGTTAATACAGAATCTCCACCCAAGAGGACATTGACTTCACTTCTGTTCCAAACACAGCAGCGGCAGATAAAATAAAAAGGGAGAAGTAAAGAGCTAGTGAGGGTCAAAGATTTGTAAGATTTGTACAAATGAAGAGAGTGGATGACCCAGGACTGTGGTTCTGGGACTACGCAGAAAGCTGCGAATTAGGAGCTGGTGTTGGCTGGTAAATTGCTCCGCAGAAGACAGTGGTCAGAGTTAGATATCCGCTGAGACAAAAGCTAGTGTGGCACCTTGAGATATAATTCAGGATCTCAGCGGTTACTGCTGCTGGACACTAGGGTTTCTGACACTGCAGGCCTGAAGGAGGACACAGACTCTTAACCAGGAGCTGCTTACCACCGCCCCCTCGTGGCTCAGAGTTGAACTGCACCATGCCCAGGAGCACCGCCTGTGAGACAAATACATCACAGAAGTAAACAAAATAAAACAAAACAAAACAACAATAACAGCAACAAAAACAAAGGCTAAAACAATCCCAAGAGCTTAGCACTAAACTACATCCTCATTCCTTTTTAGGTTTTATTAAGTGTTTTTTTTTTTTTGTTTGCTTGTTTGCTTTTTAAATTTTACAATAAGGGGGCTGGGGATTTAGCTCAGTGGCAAAAGCGCCTGCCTGGCAAGGTCGTGAGTTCAGTTCCCGGTACCGGAGAAAAAAAACCAAAACCAAAACCAAACAAAACAAAACAAAACCAAAACACACACAAATTTTAAAATAAGGTCTTGCTAAATTACTAAATTACCCAGGCTGGGTCTGAGTTTGTGCTTTTCCTGCTTCAGCCTCCTAGAGTGCTGAGATTGCAGGCGTGCACCGTCCTAATTGGTTAATGAGAGATTAAGGCTTTTCTAGAATGAATTTATACATATCTTTTAAAATTAAAAGGTAGTCCAACTACCAAGAAAGACAAATAAGCATAAACCCAGTGTCTTAGTTATTTTCTCATCGCTGGGACAAAATACCTGACACCCACAAGTTAAATGAGGAAAGGTTTATTTTGGCTCACAATTTGTAAAGGTTTTGGTCCGTAGCCAGCTGGCTCCAGCAGGGTGGCCCGGCAGAGGAACAACGTGCTGGCGGGGAGCAGAAGGAAGGAAACAGCTTCCCGGCCACGCCCACAGTGACCACCTCCAACCAGGCTTCACCTCCCAACGTCACATTTAGCTATCAATCATCAGTAGCCTAAGCTATTGGTGAGTATCACACCCCATGATCCAGTCGACCCCCAAAGCCCCACCTATGAGCACATCAGGCCTTTGAGGCGGCCATGTAGATATAAACCATAGTACCTCATAAGACACATTGAAATAAAACTGAGAAAATTAAAAAATGACTAAAGAGAAAGACAGATTACCACATAATTAATGACTCAGGAGATACTATCAGAAAAGATTTACGTACAAAAGCATAATCAGCTTAGAGTTTTGTATTCAAAGAATCAAGGTGTACTAAGATGAAGTTTGCCCTATATCCACTCAGTTAAAAGCAAAGATGGCAGCAACAGCAAACTGTTAAAGGATATACTGCAGCAGAAAGAAAACCAAACCCAAACAAACAGCACTGAGATACAAAAAATACGCTAAATACCCAAAGAGGCAAAATGCTTCAGAGAGAGTATACTGACTATAAAAATAAAGTTACTTCTGTAAATGAAAAGAAAATGAAAGGGCAAGAAACAAAAAGGCAAAAGAAAGGGAATTGTGCAAGAGGGAAAGAGCAAAAGAAAAAAAAAATAGAAACAAATTCAGCTATACAACAAATTACAAAGACAGACAGTTTGGGGATGGGGATTTAGCTCAGCGGCACAGTGCCTGCCTGCCAAGTGCAAGGTTGTGAGTTCAATTCCCGGTACCGGAGAAAAACCAAAAAAAAGACAGATTAAACTCACTTTTAAAAAGTACTGTAATTTATTGTCCGAACCTGGACATACACTAAACCACATACCAGGCTGACAGGTAAACTGGGATAACCTTGAGAGAACAGGGATGCACTGCAACCCTAATCACAGCAGCCTCTGTTCCGATCACCCCTACGCCCTGGCCCAGACTAACTTGATTCCCTACCAGTCCCACCACTGTCCATACTCATCGTCTTTACGGTGCCCTTCAGGTTGACATTCAGCAGGTTCCCATCCATTCAGTCTCTTTCCTAAAACTTTTTGTTTTTGTTTTATTGGGGATAAGGATCATTCTAGACAAGTGAGATCAGAGTCTGGAGAAAAATGCAATATGTTATTCTGATATACTGCAATTGCAGTATGAATACCGCATATTGAATTATAATATGCTATTCTGGATACTTGTCCTATGAATTCAAAGAACAAGTATCCAGAATACAAAAAGAACTCAAACTCAGCACTTTCATGTACTATTTGTAGGAATAAAAATAGGGTGGTATACACAGCTACAGTAATCAAAACAAAACTGGCATAAAGACAGACTACATAAATGTAAATACACAGAATGGAATACAGAGGCAAGAAACAAGTTCTTGTATATAAGGTAAAACAATTTTCAACAAAGAAGCCAAAATCATTCAGTGGAGGAAAGGATAATCTTTTAAACAAATGATGCTGTGAAATTAGGCATCCACATCCAAAGGAATTAAATTATACCCTAAACTAACATCATCCACAAAAATTAACAAAACATAGTCAAAGATTTGAATCATAAAACTGTTAGGAGAAAATATCAGGGGAAATCTTCATGACAACATCAAAAACAGGCAACAAGAGTAAAAATAGATAAACTGGACTTATCAAAATTTAAAATATAAATATACCAAAGGATACAATTAATAAACTCAAAAGATAAATCATAGAATGGCAGAAAATATTTGCAAATTATGTATCTGATAAGAATTGATATCTAGAATATCAAAGGAACTCCCACAAGTCAACAACAATGAAATAGACTTTAAATTCAACTTTAAAAAAGGGCAAAGAGCCGGGTGTGGTGACACATGACTCTAATCCCAGCCCTCAGAGGCTGAGGAAGGAGGATCGCTAACAGTTTGAGGCCAGCCTGGGCTACACAATGAATCCAAGGCCACAGGGAGAACTTCTCTCAATAAATAAATAAAAAATAAATAAGTAAATACAACAGGACAAAGTCAGATTAAAACAACACTGAAATTCCATCTTACTCCACAAAGAATGGCTATCATCAAGAAATCAAATAATAACAAATGCTGGCAAGACTTCAGGGAAAAAGGAACCCTTCTGCAATGTTGCTGGAAAACTAGTGCAATCACTATGGAAATCAGTATGGACAGTCCTTAAAAAACTAAAACTAGAAATTCCACTTGACTTAGCTAGTCCCCTTCTAGGTATCTAGAAGAGAGAGAGAGGAGGAGAAGGGAATAAAGAAAGAATCAAGATGTATCATGCACCTGCACTAGCTCCCCAGGGGGAACATGACCCTTATGTACTGCAAACATGTAGAAAGAAAA